GTTGTTGTTGTTGTTGTTGTGAATGTACGGCAGGCTGAAACCAACGATATATAGCGCAATTCATTACTTATGGGAAACGTTTCAAAAGCAACAGGCTTACCTCCAAGCAGCACAGCACAAGGGAGAAGTGTGTGTAATGCGGAAGACGTAGCCAGGTCAAACCAACCAATAGAAACTCTTCTCTCATCCACCAGCGTAGGCCCCGCCCATCAAGTGCAGTTGAATTCACAAGAACAACTTTAGAACTTGCAAGCAAAGAGGACTGATTTGCAAACAAAACTTTATAATTCGCAAGCAAAGAGGACTGATTTATAAGCAAAATGGTTGTATGTTTTTACCTACAAACATTAGTTTTGATTGAAGAAATATGTTCTCTCATATTTTTTTTTTCAATTGCAACCTGTTCTGTTTCGATCTCTAAAAATTTTTTTTTGATTGCCACTTACTCTTTTTTGCTCTCAAATCTCTTTTTTGGTTTCAAATCTATTCTATTTGATTGAATAATAAAGGAACAAAATTCTCTCCATACCACCACATCTCCTGCCTCGATTGGAGAACAGGGTTCAGAATGTAATCTTTCATTTCTTTGAGGAGCACAACCTGGACACACACACAAATGCACACACAAATACAATATTTTTATGTGTCATACATTTCATACTTTTATACATTGCAGTTCTGAAAATAAAAGCAGATCTTTGGAAAAGCGAATGTCTCTGTATTTTTTCCACAGTCCTTATGATGATGATAATATTAATACAAATGATGTGGAACTTGTGAGTTTAAACACAATCCACTTATGGTCTGGGCATGGTCGTCTGGTCTGGGCATGGTCGGCTGGTCCTCGATTCACATGTAATCTTTCATACAGAATCCACATTAACATTACAGTCACAGTACAACTTGTGAACACATCCCATGATCTCCTTCCCCATTAACACCTTATTCTGCAACAACGTCTTGCTACTCTCAATGTAATGTGAGTCCCCTTCACCCCATTTCAACATAGTCTACACATGCATACAGCTATGCCAAGGTACTTCACACTATTATTGTCTTCTATAACAGGCCATAAACTGCTCAAATTGCATCTGAAAGAGGGCCAGTCAGTGTTCCATTCCACTGATACTGATAAATGCAGATTTATGAGAACATTATAATTAAACTTTGCACATTCCATTATCCCCTGACCAAAAACTATGCATTATGTTTCCAACATCTATGACTAGTGTGTGGACTTTGTGGTGATAGTGATACAGTAGGCCATTATGATTGATATGATTTTTATTGATCCTTCTCATACACAACAAGTTATCCTCCTTTACACACGGACAATCTGTCCTGTATCTTGTCCCATTGAAAAGGCACTGCACCAGTATCAGACATGAAATAACGACATAGTTCATCCCTGATCTGTTTGGCCCTTGCTGCTGCATTGGTGGTTTGTGGCAGGGGGGCTTGTTGTAGGACAGGGTCTTGCCTCCATCTTCCTTCAATAATCTCTCTATCTGGTCCTTCCTGGTCCACAATGTCTGCCATGTATGCATCGCTACCCTCACTCCGTAGAATGTTATGCAGAGCACAACAAGCCAGGACAATGTACTCCACTGTGACAGTGTCTCGGATGTTGATGGTGGTTAGCAAGATACAGAGGCGGTTGGCCATGACCCAAATGCATTTTCCACAACCCACCAAGCTTGTGACAGCCTGTAGTTGAAGATGCGCTGTTCTACAGTGAGTCTGCGGTTTGCATATGGCTTCAACAGGTAGTCTGTCAACGGAAACGCCTCATCTGCCACAATGCAGTATGGAGACAGCTGGTCAGAACTTGGAAGTGGTGCAGGTGCAGGGATGTTGGTGGTTCTGTTTACCAGGGCATCTGCTAATGTGCATCCACGAAACACTCCACCATCAGAAATGCTTCCATTACAACCGACATCCACATACAGAAACCTGTACGAGCTGTCGACCAGTGCCATCAAGACAATGGAAAAGTTGTGTTTGTAGTTGTAGTATGTTGATCCAGTCCCTGGTGGGGGGCGAATGTTTATGTGTTTGCCATCCAGAGCACCCAGGCAATTTGGGAAGTTCCACTGAGACATGAATCCACTGGATACCTGCTGCCACTCATGCACTGTGTCTGGGCACTAAAAACAAGAAAAATAACAAAAGTGAATACCAAATGCTGATCTGTTTATCTGGTTAGAAAAACAGTAGCATCAGAAAAAATAACATGCATGTTTGCAACAAAAGTAGGATACCAGCAGCATGTAGATCATATTGTACAACTCAATGACTGATGTTGACACAAGATATATCACACATACCTTCAGATTTTTCTCTCTTAAGACCCGGTAGATGGCGTTACAGGTTTCAGGAATGATTTGCCAAATTGTGGAGACACCCAGTCAAAACAGAAACCCAAGACTCTTGAAGCTTTCCCCTGCGATTATAAACGAAAACATGACTTTGTTAATTATATGGAAGAGCTCTACAGGTTCCGATAAAGGAACCAATATCTGAAAGACTAAAACAAACAAAGAGCTTAACCTACCTGTTGCGAGGAAGTGCAGTGTGACCATCAGACGTTCACCGACAGATACACAATCACGGTAATTGGTGTTGCACCGCTGGATATTCGGTCTGACACGTTCCTCCAACATGTGGAACTGGGCAGGAAAAAGCGGAGCAAAATTTTTGAAATCATCTGGCTCGTCCATCTCCAGTTCCCGACTCGGGACCGCTCCCTGAGCTTCTCACTGTGAGATCCAGGACTTCACCCACTTAGTGCGGTTTCTCCTTATTTTTCCCCTGTGACATCTTTCTTCTTCCACAAGAAGAAGCCCGAGAGCTGACAACGCCTGTATCTTCTTATTATTAGCCATCATATTTTCCATTCAGCGACAATAACGATCCTTCTTGACAACTATCAACACTCTCTGATGAAAACAATGACTGACGACAGCGTGAGCTGTGTTTACTAGGTCTAGAGTGATCCGTCATTTCCAGTTTCATTTTTTTGGGGCGACAGCACAGATTAGCGCCGCCTGCTGTTATGGGGACGTATTACGCCTCGGGCACGCGCAGAACGTACCCTCCAGTCGGCGTCGGTTTGATGTGTTCGGAGGCACTTTTTTGACCGACTCAGGGAGACGGGAGCCGACTGATCAGTCCGACTGCTTTTCTGCTGATGGTCGGCCGTCAGGTTGGTGTGTCCTGGCCTTTACATACTGTTCGGGTCAAAACTGACCCGTTTTGACATTTGACAGCAGTGGAAATACCCTACATGTCATTCTTTTAACCTGAAATTTTATGGCTTTTCCTAAAGTGACCGAAAATACACAAAAATGAAAATATTTTAAAATTTTATACTTTTGCACAGGTGCTACAATTGTTTGTACATTGATGCTGTGAGATGGATTTTAGACCCACTAGAGTGGGTCCAATCAAGGAAAAAGGGTGTTCTAGGGAATCTCGAAACTGTGAAACTGTATATTCTATGTCTGTGTGTATTTTTATGTGACAGTGGTGACAGAGTTGGGGAGGGGACCTTGACACTGTCACAATAACTGTTCGCCCAGGTTAATGCAGGGATGACATAACCCAACACAACCTAACCTAACACAAACACACACAGACACACTCACCTTTTTCTTTAGCTTAGCTCCCTTTTAAGTTTAATTGTACATTGTGTGTTTTCATCTGTTGTGCCTTTATTGTCTCTTTAATAAATTCTTGTATTTATACATGGTGGCCTATTTAACGTTGCACAAAAGTGGGTGATACCAGCCTCTTCTATGCAAAACTCGTTAAACTTTAACTATTAGTAATTATAGTAATTTCATTATTAATCAGAATTTCAAATTAATAATTCAGTGTATTTTATGAGACTGAGAAAATTCATTATTGGCTATTGTTTCCCATCTTTAAATTGGAGTTTGATATTAGTTAAAGTTATTATACATTATCTTTTGATAGTTAATCAAATTAATGTGATTTGAAAGTGAAATGTTGTACCTACAAATGGTACCACTGTGATTAGCATAGCACATATGAAATGGTGCCTTATGTGCAGCATAGTAGTGTTGGCAATTTGCACCTATATAACATATTAAGAAATTGATTTTAAAATGTAGTAATTAAAATTTACTATAGTTACAACCCTAACCTAAATCCCATAACAAATATTTAGCAAGGGAAATTAATTTTATTGATATTCCTTCTCTGTATTTTCATTTCCTTTTGCAGTTATCATGGAGAAACAAATTCTTGTGAGTGGAGCTCTTTGACCATCTAGTGGTGATGTTTGTAAACAAAAGTGTAGTTCACTTCAACTGCTGTATAATGTGTTTGATACACTGCTTTATATCAGTCAGTCAGTAAGATGGTTTATATATATATATATATATATTTAATGTTATGTTTGCAGAATGAGAAACAATATTAACTGAAAAACACCACCAGGAAGCAGTCAAAATCCACTCCACAGTATGTCTGGGTCCCGACAGAACATTGTGACAATAGCTTGATTATAGAGTGAAATCATGTTTTTACAACCATGATCCTGAGATCATAACACCCATAATAAACTCTTTCCAGTGAGTTTTTTTTCTCTCTCAAAAAATTCATCTATTCTTTACCAACTCAGAACCCTTAATAAGAGGAGGGCTCAGGGCCTCAACTCAACCTCTCGCTCAACCACTTTTTTGAGCTTAAGCTTGCTTTGTTGGTGCTAATTCTCAGCTGTGCAGTCAGTAGCTCAAGTTGCCAATTCAGCAGTGCAGGGGATTGTCTTACAAGAACAAGAAGCTAAAGGTTTAACTTTTCCACACTTTTCATGTGGAAAGAAGTCTGTTTTCATTTTGTGGTTTGTATACTGCTGTTGGGAAGTGTGGTGTGACTTTATATTACTACCTCACAGTGCAGGTACTTTCTTTTCCAAATCCAATGTGGTGATTTCTTTCAGTCTTTTTAAAACACAGGTAATATGACAAAAGTGGTGCAATCAGCATGTATTCTTTATTCCACTCATGTTGCATGGAGAATAAAGAAACTAAAGTACTACAATTTAACTACATCTTTGAAGATCACGTTAAAGGCTTCACTCCTCGTCATGTGCTTTCTGTAGAAGAAATGTTGGATTAGATTTTTTATTTCTGAATCACTGAAATTACTCATTGTATACTGCATGCAATATTCTGAATGATTACTGACCTTAGCACCAGAGTCACGGCTCTTTGCTCTCAGCTTGTTGACCTGAGACTCTGCAATGTCGGCCCTCTCTTCTGCTTCCTCGAGCTCATGCTGTAACTTGCGCAACTTTCCCAGACTTGCATTGGACTGTTCCTCCTAAAAAATATGAGTATATAAGTATGGAATATACTTCAATTCTGGTTACAACACAGAACTGACTCATAAAAAGGCAAATAGAATATGTTTTAGTAAATAAAGGTGTAGTGTTTTCACTTACAGCCTCCTCTGTAGCTCGCTTATAGGATTTAACTTTCAGTTGCAGCTTATCCACCAGGTCCTGCAGACGGCTCAGATTCTTTTTATCCTCGTCCGTCTGTTAAATTATTACACATTACTTGCTAAAGCATGACTTTTTATGGTTCCTTAATGTTTTTTAGAGTCATTATGTGTGGAGCATATACCTGGTAGGTGAGCTCTTTGATGCGCCTCTCATACTTGCGTATACCTTTCACCGAGTCACTGCTTCTCTTTTGTTCCATATCCACCTCAGTTTCCAACTCTCTTACCTTGGAACAAACAGTTGCAGCTTTTATACATTTGTTAAAGCCAGATAATCCTGTATTGTGCACTAGTACTGTAAGGCAACACAGTGGAAGTTAGAAATTCTCACCCTGGCCTCCAGCTTCTGGATCTGCTTCTTGCCACCTTTCATGGCTATTTGCTCAGCTTCATCCAGACGGTGCTGCAGGTCTTTGATGGTTTGTTCCATGTTTTTCTTCATACGCTCCAGGTGAGAGCTGGTGTCCTGCTCCTTCTTTAGCTCTTCTGCCATCATGGCAGCATCAGTCACAGCCTTCTTCGCCTTCTCCTCAGCATTTCTGCACTCCTGCACTGCCTCCTCCACTTCATTCTGAAGCTGAGCTGTGTCTCCCTCCAGCTTCTTCTTCTGGTTCAGCAGGCTGGTGTTCTGCACAAAAGTGTTTTACAGTGAACACTTGTTGAAACATAAATTACTCAGGACATATTGGCTCATTATTATACTGTATAGTGACTACAGATTTGGACATACCTGAGAATGCAGCAGCTGAACTCTCTCACTTATATCCAGCAGTTCCTGCTCTGCAAGTTTACGACCTCTTTCAGTCTGCTCCACCACAGACCTCAGCTCATCAAGTTCAGCCTGCAACAGGTTGTTACGTCTCTCCACAATGGCAATGTTCTCCTTCAGATCATCATTGGCATGGAGAGTATCATCCAGCTGCAGCTGTGAGTCCTGTAAAGAACAATAATACAATTATATAATTAAAAGAAAAAAGAAAACAATCCACAAGCACATTGCAATCATTGGTAGGACTTTTGTATTTACCTTCAGATGAGTATGGACTCCCTTGAGCTGTTTCTGAGCCTCTGCTGCCTGCCTGTTGGCTTGGTTCAGCTGGATCTCCATCTCATTGAGATCTCCTTCCATCTTCTTCTTCACTCTGAGAGCCTCAATTCTGCTGCGCGTCTCAGCCTCCAGAGAGCTCTGCAGAGTGTCCACAACTCTCTGATGGTTACGCTTGGCCTGCTCCAACTCCTCCTCCTTCTCAGCCAGCTTTCGCTCGATGTCAGCCTTCACCTGGTTTAACTCGAGTTGAGCTCTGAGGATCTTACTCTCCTCATGCTCCAGAGAGCCCTGTACAAAAAGTCTCTTTCATTAGTTAGCATTTTCTTTTAGAATAAAAAGAAAGCTATAATAATACATATACTTGAATTAACTTTCACCTCAGCTTCCTCCAGAGCAGTTTGTATGTCAGCCTTCTCCTGCTCCAGCTGTTTACGGATCTTCTCCAGCTCGTGGATGCTCTTTCCTCCCTCGCCAAGTTGCTCAGTCAGGTCAGAAATTTCCTCTGTTTTGTGCATATTCATTTATTTTACTGTTTTCCCAACCTCACAACCATATTCAATGTATATTAAAAGACAAATGATGTTTTATTATATTTTCCTACCTTGGAGATTCTTATTTTCTCGTTTCATGGTCTCCAGATGATCCAGAGATTCTTCATAGGAGTTCTTCAGTTTGAAGAGTTCAGTGCTGAGAGAACGAGCCTCTTTCTGAGCACTTTCCAGCTCAGTCTGGGACTCCTCATATTTCTGCTTCCACTCAGCAAGGACCTGGTTAAATTGTATATTAAATTGTGTTAATCTTGGTGTATACAGACATTTATTCTGTACCAAAGTCTGCAATGAGTCCCTGCCATTTCATGTCATTACCTTGTCAAAGTTTCTTTGTCTCTTGTCGAGAGCTGCAGCAGCAGCATTTGATCTCTCCACATCCACCATGAGATCTTCAATCTCACCCTGAAGCCTGTGTTTGGTTTTCTCCAGGGAGGAACATTTAGCATTACCAGCTTCAACAGTTTCTTCTGCATCCTGTAAGCGTTGAGCTAGCTTTTTCCTAATAGCAAAAATGAAAATGTCAAATCATTATTTTACATAGAAAAAGGGAATATTGTGGTAAATAAAGGTCTTAAAATGGGTCTTGTTTTTCAGTGGTCATATACATTGTTTAGAGAGAGGGCAATCCCCCACTGTTCTATAATTTACTGAATCCTTACTTTGCTTCTTCCAGCTCCTCTGTCCTTTGTATGGCATCAGTTTCGTACTTTGTTCTCCACTGAGCCACCTCAGAGTTTGCCTTGGACATGCTGCGTTGGAGTTCAGTTTTGGCCTCCTGCTCCTCCTCATATTGCTCCCTCAACAAGTCACAGTCATGGCGTGAAGACTGCACTGCATGGGCAAGTGCATTCTTGGCCTGTATGGTAATAGTATAAGCTGTGATAAGTAGACTGTCAAATGAATGTAATGTCTGTCTGGAAACTGCATTCACAGTCATTTGAGATACCTTCACTTCCTCTTCTAGTTGTCTCTTGAGGTCTTCAATCTGCTGAGTGTAGGACTGCTTCCCTCTGGTCAGCTGGGAGACCAAGGAGTCCTTCTCCTCCAGCTGCCTGGCAAACTCACCTAAAATTATATATTTATATATATATATATATATATATATATATATATATATATATATATATATATATATATATATTATATTAGTTTGCTGCCTGTAATATTTGAAATGTAAATAATCAACCCACTCTTTTCTGGAGTGCATTGCTAAAAAACTTGTATACAGTATCAATATAATAAAAAACAAAATTTAAAAGTTACCATTTTCTGTTTGAAGCTTTGCTTTTTGCATTGAGAAGTCATTGATGGTACGCTGGCCCTCCTCCGCTTTTGTCTTGTATTCAGTCATTTGATCCTCCAGCGTGCGGCACATTTTCTCCATGTTGGTCTGAATAAAATTATTCTCATATTAATATGTAAGTAATAGAATATATTCAACCCAAGCATCAATTTATTTATATTATTATTTCTAATAGACATAGTATGACCCTTTGGGATATACACCTATCAGAACTTCCTTTAGAGAGATGCATTAGAAGATCAACAGGTAGAGCCAGCAGGTGATTAGCCTAGCTTAGCGTAAAGATCTGTACACAGAGTAAGAATAACAGTAAGTAAGAATTAGCAGTTTGTGGTTTTATGAAGAGTTACATGCTGTAACCAGTGGTGTTAATAGGGGGAAATGCATGGACACAATGCTCCAGCAGTAAAAGCTGGAAGGAAAAAGTGTTCCTGGTCAGATTTTGATTGAATCAATGTTTTTTACAGGAGGAAATTCCTTGTTTCTAAAGCAGTAGGATAGTGACTTTCTACGTTCTTGTCATCTTCATGAGTTTGCCAGCTCTAGCTCAATACTTACCACACAGACAGTGTGGTATCAATCTGGTATTATGGTCAAGGCAGACAGCCACCCACCTAGAGCCGGGGTCTGTCCAAGGTTTCTTCCTCTTAAAAGGAAGTTTTTCCTTGCCACCGTCGCAAAGTGCTTGCTCATGGTGGGAACTGTTGGGTCTCTGTAAATAATTTTATAAGGAGTACGGTCTAGACCTGCTCTATTTTAAAAAGCGTCCTGAGATAACTTCTGTTATGAATTGGCGCTATACAAATAAAATTGAATTGAACTGAATTGAATCTTACTCTCCTCCTAAAATGTTCCTTCCCTCATGTCTCTATCATAAATAGGCTACCAACCAGCTGGCTTAATTTAACACAAAGACTGCAAATAGGGGGAACAATCTTCTCATCTACTGTAACTTTTCGTAAGAAAGTGAATACAGCTACAAAAAAAATTACAAACTATTCCTTAAAGATGTGTTTAATGGAGATTTTGTTTGTCTTACTTTAACTTTGATGATCTGCTCCATGTTGGAGACCACATCATCCAGCTCCAGTCTGAGCTCGCTCTTCTCTTTCTCCAGCTTCTGTTTGACTCTTTGCAGGTTGTCAATCTGCTCTCCCAGGTCAGCCACACTGTCTGCGTTCTTCTTTCTCAGAGTAGCAGCAGTGGCTTCATGCTGCAGAGTGGCCTCTTCAAGGTCTCTGCGCATCTTCTGGAACTCGGCTTCTCTCTTCTTGTTCATCTCGATCTGGGCAGCAGTGGCTCCTCCGGCCTCCTCCAGCCTCTCACTGATCTCCTCCAGCTCTCTGGCCAAGTCAGCCCTGTGTTTCTCCAGCTTGGCTCTGGCAGCTCGCTCTGCTTCCAGCTCTTCCTCGAGCTCTTCAATACGAGCCTTGATGAGTATCGATCAGATTATTGTACATTTTGAGTAGGAATTCCCATAATGAAAAGATAATAATGCAATTAATTAAATCTGTTTGGGCAGTTACCTGCAACTCCTTCAGTTTCTTCTGGAGTTGAGCACTCATGGCCTGTTCATCTTCAATCTTACTTAGCTGCTGGCTGATTTCAAAATCTTTCCTACATTGAATGACAAAATGGTTAGTTATCAGCTGTTGTAGAATAACAGGCATTGTGTTTGTGATTGTAAAAGATTGGTTTTACTTTTTGAGTTTTTCCTCCAGCTGCTGTTTGTCATTCTCCAGATCCATCACACTTTCTTGGGTTAACTTTAAGTCCCCTTCCAATTTTCTCTTGGCTCTTTCCAAATCCATCCTCACTTTCTTCTCTTGCTCCAATGATCCTTCAAGCTAATAGACAAAACATTCAGAACATTTACTCAATAAGTTGTGTCTCCAGAACAATAGATTTGGGCGAAAATACCATTGCACTCACATCATCAACTTGCTGCTCCAGCTTGGCTTTGGCCTTGGTCAGAGTGTTGACTTTGTCCTCCTCACTCTGCAGGTCATCCAGTGTTTGCTGATGAGCCTCCTGAAGAGCTTTTTTCTCTTTGGTCAGCTTAGCAATGATTTCATCCAAAGCTGCCATCTCTTCAGTCAGGTTTTTAACCTGAGAAAACAGAGCACCGCTGGTGTTAGGTCTGGTATTTAGAAAAGTTCTTCATCAAAGGACCACTTTGTAGGATTTAGTGGCACTTATTGTGGAAGTTAAATTGACTAAATTCTACTCGCCTTCCAAGCTCACAAAAGAGCAAAAGGCCCTATATAAAGCCAGTTTTTAGTTTGTCTGCTACTGGGCTACTGTAGAAACTTGTTGATCCAACATGGTGAATTTCCGTAGAAGAGGACCTGCTCCCTTCTGTAGATAAAAATGGCTCAATCCAGGGTAACAAAAATAGGATTCTTGTTTTCAGGTGACTAAACACTAATGAAAACATGAATATTATGTTCCATTTCTGCCAATAGATCTACCATATGTGACGCGTTCCATCAAAATGAGTCGGATGTCGCAGCGGCCCGTTTGTGTAGAAACACGTTTTTACAAGAAAATACAATTTTGGGCTATTTTCAGTTTTTACATGTTTCTGATTAAATAAAGTCTCAGCTTTCATACCATGTCAAAATTAATGTAAAATACAAAGGATAAATATAGCTAGCATAAATAAAACGAAACAGGTGTCAGAGTTCAAAACACCGGCTAGCGTGTTTGTGTCATCTAACGTTACGTCATCTGTCAACTGTCAGATTAGAGTTTAGACACGGACACAGAGACAGATTGACAGCTTAGACAAAATGAATTTTCGCGACGACGAAATTGCTCAACTTTTAAATTCAATTCCTGTAAGACATGCTACTTCAGACGGCAACTGGATCGACCTTATTACGGACTTTTTCACCGCACCGGCAGCTGAGAGGGAGAGTGACAGCGGCGGCTCGACCTCCGGTATTTCGCGCTACGGACACTGTGTGAGTGTGACGGAGGCGAGGAGGAAGATATTCCACTTGTGGCTGACCCGATGGTAGCATACAATGTCTCTGATTATAATTATGTAAAGCAGTAAAGCAGTAAAGTTTATTTATTGGAATATAAACTGTCTATAAATGTCTTTCAATTCATTTGGAATATGGCGGTATGTTGATTGCTATCTTTAGAGCCCTTTTTCTCAAAAACAAGGTTTGGTGACACTCGACCTTTGGAAGGGTGTGTCTCATACAATTTTTGGAGTAGAAAAATAATTTTGGTATCGCCATAAAGCTGAGACATTCCTCTTTACAGCCATGAAGAAAACTCAAAATGTGTTTCTGGGTCAAAGTGACTCAAAATGATGGAGCAGGTCACATATGTTAAATACTGAATCTCTAAATATCTTTTTAAATCCGCAATAACTGATTCTTTTGGCCACTTGTGGGCAGTAGAACACATAATTGACATTTTACCTTTAGTTGCTACAGATGCGACACAGAGCGCTAACAATTTTCTGGCCACCTGCTGAATTTAAGTTTAATATTTCCTCTCTTTTCCAAATAAAATGAGTTGCCTAAAATTGTTTGAAAATTAATCAAAAAAGTTAAATTGTGGGGTATAAAAATTAAAACAATTAGCTAAAAGATTCTAAAACGCTACTTAGAGCTCAGGAGAACTGCAGAATGAGATGGTTATTCTCTATGGATTTCGCAGAAAAAACTCTTTCAACTGAATTAAAAAATTGATTGTTTGATTGATTGTTATCATAAAAATATGGATATGGATTTTAGTTGCTTAAGTTACCTTGTTCTCTGTGGCATGCTTTTCCTTTTCCACTTTAGCCAGAGTCAGCTCCAGATCATCAATGTCCTTCTTGAGTTCTGAACATTCATCCTCCAGCTTCCTCTTCTTGGCAGTCAGATCTGCATTCATCTCCTCTTCATCTTCCAGCCTCTCTGTCAGCTCTTTGGCTTTTGCCTCAAGCTGGATCTTACTCTTGATCAGACCCTCACAGCGCTCCTCAGCATCTGTAAGATTGTCTTGTTCCTGCAGACAGTAAATTTAATAACAAATTAATCAAATTTCTCCAAGTATATTGCTGTAAGTTTTAGAAAAATTGAATGACTGATCTTACAGATTGGACTTGAAGCTGTAGGTCATTCTTCTCTTGGAGAACGGTGACCATTTTTTCCTCCAGCTCTTTCCTGCGTGCCTCAGATTTAGCATAAGCCTCTTTCAGCTTTGTGAACTCTTCCTTCATATTTGCCATCTCCTTCTCATTTTCAGCTGATTTCAGCAGAGGCTTGATCTTGAAGTACATCTTCATCCAGGGCCAATTCTTAACACCCATGAAAGCACGCACATTCCATTGGATCACCAGTAAGGCATCCCTATAAATAACATCAGTACGCTGGTATCAATTTTTCTGTACCTTTTTTACAGTTAATGTAAAAAGTAACACACCAACCTGCGCTCAACAATTTTCTGGAACTCAATCCTGGCGAGTAGTCCTCTGGCTCTCGCTTGAATTCCAGTGATGATGAGAGCAAGACGATCATCTCTCATCTCTTCAAGAGCACCCAGCAGACCAGCTTTGAAGAACACCTGAAATGGAAGTTTTTCATAACATTGAACCCTGCTCTTTTAAATTATTGTAGCAACAGAACCAACCTTTGTGTGTCCCAGTTTATACTGCTCATGGTCAATATCCAAAGAGCCCAAAAGTTTTTCTGCTGCTTTCTTGTTGTCAATGAACTGTCCCTCAGGGATAGCACTAGGATTCAGGATGCGATATCTGAAATGACAGAACCATAATAACATATCATGGGCCAAACCAAAGAAACAGCAGGCAGAGAACATTAAAGAGTACACAAAAATACAATACCAGAAACAATAAATAAATAAACAAAAATAGACACTGAGGCAGCTGTCAGTTATGGTTATGTGCTACAGTACAGAATCCATAACCTCTACTTATTTTAGGCTATTATATAGAACTCTGACACTGGCACAAAGGAGTTTTTAAACCGATTCTATTTACACCGCTGAGCTCTGTATCGTCTGCCTGATGGTAGCAGCTCATACTGGCAGAAGAGAATGTGAGATGGATCACAGAGGATTCTCTTTACCTGTTTAAGTACGCACTTACACAATAATCCGAAGTCCCTCCAACCTTTTCTGCTGGGGTCTGGGAGACACAGAGGGGATCCTTGGAGGATATCCTAAGCTGTTGTTCAAAGGCCCTGGTGGAGCTACCAGTGGTTTCACGGACAGGTGCTGAGGACCATAGCAGATGCCACTTGAAACTGGCGTTAAGGAAGGGGAGAACCAGTAGCACACAAAATCATCAAGTGGGCTTCTTGCCATTGCTCTGGACTGGAAACTAGGTTTGCCTTGGGAGGCAGCTCAAGTTCCCAGATATCACAGAGACCACATTCAGACCACACATGGTCCTGATGCCCAAAAACAGCAAGGCTGGTTGTCCTGCTGGAATTGACTGTCCAATGGTCAAAAGACTAGACTAGGGATTGATGAGTCTTTGCTCTTCTTAGCTTGAAGAATTTGCATAGAGAGCAGCCTCTGCAACCAGCTGTGATAGGCACACATTAAGCACACCCTCTTCAGCTAAGCACACAGGAACAGAGCAATCAGTAAAATCACTGATGCCACAGAAATAAAGATAGGTGACCTGTGACACAAGTTTGGGCCTGATAAATCCTGGCTGCTGACTTAGGCAGTGGTGTTTAATGATGAAAGACTTGAAATGCCCAAAGACACCAGGTTATTACTGATCACTGTGTGCATGTTTTTTGAAAGAGTAATAAATACGCTTTTCTTGCCTTTGTTTTAAGTCTCCATACTGAATCCTGTTGGGGAATCCCTTCCTGCAGATTCTGATGCCCTCCAGCACACCATTACAGCGCAGCTGGTGCATGACCAGAGGATTCTCCATCGCTCCCGGAGTCTTGGTCTCATTGGGGATTAGGCAGCGTACAAAGTGGGGGTGAGTTGACCTCAAGTTGGTCATCAGTTTGTTCAAGTTCTCCTGTAAATGGTGACAATAAATAGTAGTTAGAGATCCATACAGCAAAATTAGGACATAACCCAAATTTTAGACATATTTTACCCTGTGCAGTGCAGACACAGTCTGGAAGGAAGAACCTTTCTTTTTTGCTCCCTTTCCTCCCTTGCCTCCTGCATCCTGGGCTGTGTAGAAGTTGTAAATAAAGTATAAAAGTGTAATTGTTATTTTCTTCTTTGGTGTTATCCTAGATAATTTAATAATGAATAATTGTTGTGGTCAAAGATCCCTTACCTGACTCTGCACCAGCATAGCCAGCAAACAGGACGCCCAGTAACTTCAAGTTGGACTTTTGAAACAGTCCAACCACAGTCTCATTCAGTGGGTCCTTGTTCTTCACAAGCCAGTTACCGATGTTGTAATCAACAATACCAGCATAGTGAGCCAGGGAAAAATGAGCCTCTGGTCTCCCCTTAACAATTCTGGGCTTTTGGAAGTTGGGACTTTTACCCAGATGGTTGTCATACAGTTTGGCTTTAAATGTTGCGTCACTGGCTTTGGGGAACATGCACTCCTCTTCAAGGATGGACATGATGCCCATGGGCTGATGGAAAACATTGATTAGAATTAATTGAATGTAAACAAGTCACTAAGAATAGCTTATGTTTAAAATTAAATTTAACTCTGCACTAACCTTGTCAATGAGTTCAATGCAGGCTGCCAGGTCCATGCCAAAGTCAATGAACACCCACACAATGCCCTCTTTCTTGTACTCTTCTTGTTCCAGCACAAACATGTGGTGGTTGAAGAACTGCTGCAGCTTCTCATTAGTATAGTTGATGCACAGTTGCTCAAAGGTGTTGAACTAGAAGGAGCATTCAAAGAGAGAAGTTACAAAAAGTAGATTTTATAGTCACATGTCCATAAAACCTTTTATACTCACATCAAAGATCTCAAATCCAGCAATGTCCAGCACACCAATGAAGTACTGGCGAGGTTGCTTGGTGTCCAAAGATTGGTTGATTCTCACCACCATCCACAAGAACATTTTCTCGTACACTGACTTGGACAGTGCACTAACAGAGTAGTACACCTAGATAATTGCATAGAATTTAAAATTGTAATTCACTTTATTTTTCAAGCCACATGGATTTCTGTGCAGTGTCTCTGTTCAACTTACTTGCTGCACATTCTGACCTTTGGTGACCCACTCGTTGCCTACTTTTACTCTTGGGTGACACAGGCCCTTGATGAGGTCAGCAGAGTTCAAGCCCATCAGATATGCAACTTTGTCCAGATCTGTGTAGTAAAAGCATTTACAACATTGTTTTGTGTAAAAAAGGCACAAACTGGCAGTAGTTAAACTTTTCTTCATTGTCCTGATGCCTTACCCTCTGTCCCATCAGACTCTGCTTGCTCTTCCCTCTGCTTATTTTTGAACTTCACGTTTCCATAATGCATAATGGCACCAGTCAGCTTATAAATGCCATTCTTCTCCTCTTGAGTAAAGCCCAGAACATCAAAAGCTTCCTGAAACATTTGAATTATATTTCAGTAAGTTGTAATTAATGTATGGAGTTTTTAACAAGCAGTCTGTTTCACTTACATCAGTAGCCATCAGCTCGTCTGCATCATCAATGGAGGCTACAGTTGTCTCTCCTTGGGAGATGAAGGCGTAGTCGAAGGGGTTGTTGGTGATGAGCAGCATTTCTGACAAATGAAAATACGTTCTTTTGACTTTTTTGACAAATTTATGCGACATTTTTTTATGGTCAGATATATTTGTTGTGTTGTGTTATGTTTCATCCAGCACTCACCCAGCAGTTCTGGTTTCTTTTGGGACAGAATCTGGTAGAAGATGTGGTAGTCTCTCTCAGCCTTGAGCTGATAGGTGACACGAGATTTCTCCAGCAGATCTGACAACATATTGGTATTAAAGTTTATTCTTGGTCTATGAGAAGTCTTTCCTAAATTATTCATTTATTGTGTACTTACAAGTTTCAATATCAGCTGAGGACAATTTGCCACTCACTCCAAAATGGATTCGAATGAATTTACCCTGTAATAAGAAAATGTTGTTTAGATGTCGTCAACATAATGCAGTCATATCTGCACATGTACTCTTTGAAATGACCTAACATACAAATCTAGAGGAGTTGTCATTTCTGATGGTCTTGGCGTTTCCAAAGGCTTCAAGAGCAGGATTTGCCTGGATGATTTGATCCTCCAGGGTGCCCTGTGGGTTTAATGGATTCAAACATTTAGGCCACAAAAGTCAAAACTGTATATTCATATTAATTTAAGTTTAAAACCAACCTTTTTCTCCTGAGCAGCATCCTTCTTGCCAGAAACAGCTGCAATGCTGGCAAAGTACTGGATGACTCTCTTGGTGTTCACAGTCTTTCCAGCACCAGATTCTCCACTGTGAATGAAATAAACATGTGAACTGAACACGTCATGAAGACAAAACATAAACTCTGCTCTTTAAATTGGACTCCGATAGGACTTTTATGACTTACTTACGTGATAAGAACTGACTGGTTTTCTCTGTCTGTAAGATTTAAGACAACGTTCAGCATTAGTCCAATTTTATTTAAATGTTTGGATGGTTTCAGAGATTACAAATAGGTGAACTCACCTGACAGCATGTACTGGTAGGCATTGTCAGAAATAGAGAAGATGTGAGGAGGAGCTTCACTCCTCTTCTTTCCTCTGTAGGCGTTGACCACTGCCTTATCATACACTGGCAGCATCTTATAGGGGTTGACAGTCACACAGAACAGCCCTGAGTAGGTCTGTGGACAAAGACACATGAAACAAGTCTGTTTTTATTGGCCTGAAGATGTCCTACAGGGGAGAGATCACTATATTTGTGGTCATTACTCACGTAGATCATCCATGCTGCATAACGCTCTTTGAGGTTAAACAGCACAGCAGGTTCATGGAGGAAGGTGAACATCGCCATATCCTCAATTTTATCATACTTTGGCGGGTTCTGAGGGTGGATATCAGCTTCCTTATGGGTTACAGTCTGAAATGATTTACCACAGAGAATATCTCAATTCGAACTATTGTAAAAGTCATCAAAGCTTTAAGTTTGACTGCTGTGTCACAACTATTTTCCCACTTCCATTAGTCAGTGTAAATATCTGACTTACTTTTCCAAACTCAGTGTCAACGGTGACTTTGTCGCCATCTCTGCTGGTGACTGTGGCTTTCACATACTCCACCTCAGGGTCTGGTACAAAACATTGCCTCTTCATGTCAAAGGAGCGAGTCTGGGCCTCCAGACGCTCCTTATCTGACTTTCTCAGGAAGGTAGCAGCAGCCCCAAACTCTGCCATAAGGGCATCGCCCATCTTGAAAGCTGTGAAACAAGAACAGCTTGTTTAAAAAGCTTCCTGATACATGGTGCTTGAAATAGCACAAATTATATGGTAATTTGTTCTAAGTTTATGATTAATGCATTTGAATAGGTAGAAAAAAATCACTGCTTCACAACATTCACAATAAGTGTTGTAGTTAAGTATTTTGAGGAAGTAAAAAAAGTATGATGACCAACATTTTACAATGCAAATACTTTATATTAAATGTCTTTATTTGCTTTTCATTTGAAAAAAAGTCAGCTTGATGACTAATTTAGAGGTCATAAACTACCAGAAGCATTAATATTAAGCCTATTAATTTTCATATATTCATTTTGTTTTGAAAAACAGAGAACATGGAGCTATTTACTTGTTTCGTCTCCCTCTCCTCTTTGATAGATTTGATGAGGTGGGTCTCTAAAAATAAAAAAATAAAAATGTTATTATTAGTATTTTCAGCGATAGGCGTGATAGGCATATGCAAAATGTATGCATACTTACCTGTCGGGGCTGTGTTCCTGTCGTTACTCCTCTTTCTGAACCCCTCTTTATATACATCCAGGAGGCTGAGCTTTGACACCCAGGCACCCTATAAGGGAAGAGCAAGAAAACAAAGGACACTAATCAAAGCAAGGTCCCTATTTGGTGATAAAGGATTGGACAACAATAACTCTCATGTACCCATTGGCCAGTGAATTGCAGCTTATGAGCTGGTCTTGGATCAGCATCTATTTTTGTTTTGTCCTTCAAGTGTCTGAAAAGCCAGGAAATTATAAAAAATATAAAAATATCATTGATGATATATTAAGATGTCTGGTGCTATTTTCAATATAATAAACAATTTTCCAACTCATCTCCTCTCCAGATTTGTTTTTTCTGATAATATGAATCACGTAAACATGAAAATATTATAAATAAGAGCCTCATTAGACCATTATATAAATGTTTTAAATAAAGACCACTGAACCTCTTGGTCAGTCACTAGTAGTGACTCACTAATACAATAAGCACTGTATGTAGTATTGTCTGTCTTCTATTATTCTAGATAAGATAAACTTGTGAATTCTTTACTTGGGTTCCTTCTCCTGGTCTTTGTCCTTGTGGTCCTCAACTGACCCTCCATCTATAATAAACTATCTTGTGTGACAGCTGCCTTCTTTCAAAGGTTTCAGGTTTCTGTAAATAAATACATTTGGGTCATGCAAACACTTATCACCTCCCCCATGTACACATTAGTAATGACAACAGATCAATGTTTGTAATAGCTGCCGTGTTAACATAAGAGATCCTTAAATCATGTGTTTATTGAGTGGACCACCTGAAGACCTCCTCAAGAAACACACAAGTCTTTTGACTTTAACAACTTCACACTTGGATTTCATCATGACCTTGTAGGTCTGTATTGTCTGCACCCTGTGTACCATTCCTAAGCACATCAAGGGCATTACTGAGTCATACCCAGCTGTCTGGTGTCCTTCTGCAGTCAACACTTATGATGCAGCGTTATTAGCCTTCTTATATGCAGCAGGATCCCTGGACTGTTGTTCAAGTGGATACTTGGCAGGTGGTTCATGGTCATATTCTGGGTCATATTGTTTCTGCTTTGTGTTGTTTTGTAAGTTAATCATCTTTGCAGAGTTTAAAAAGCTATGTTAGATTACAGGTTAATATTCTTCTCATAAATAATTGAAAATTTGGTTAAAGTGGCAGACAACAATTATAGATAGGTTTGTTTGTTTGTTTGTTTTGAGGAATACACAGCATCAAAACCTGTGAAAACAGTTGTATTAGGTTTTACATGGCTCTTGAAGGAGCTGTCTGTTATCTCAGATTAGGTTAACATTAGTAAATAAATATGTTTACTAAAAGCCTGTGTTTAAAGGGTGTTAAAGAGGAATAGTTTGACATTTTGGGAAATTCGCCTGTTTTTTTGTTGAGAGTTATATGAGAGGATCAACATTACTCTCATGTCTGTAATGTATACAATATGAAGCTACAGCTTTGCTTAGCATAAATACTAAAAACAGAGAGAAGCTTGTAAGCTTATATACATTAAAGGAGACATATTATGCCCCTTTACAGGTTCATAATTGTATTTTGTGGCTCTACTACAATAGGTTTAGATGTTTTAATCTTCAAAAAACACATTATTTTTCTCATACTGCCTATTCATACTTTGCACGTGACGTCACAACTACTGGCTGGTGGGCAAGAACGTCGTTCTCCAGCAACGAAACACAGTTGCCAGGCAGTTTTACTATAACGTTACAAAAGTTGGTGTTTTGAGGTGAACGACATGCCAGATAGTTGTTGTGCGATTGGATGCACTAACCGCCGAGGAGATAAGCCGGGGTTATGTTTTTACCGGATCCCATCTGATAAGGAGAATCCAGAGAGAAGACAACTGTGGATACAGGCTATCAGACGTGCAACCGTTTCAGGAAATGGGACCTGGCAACCTTCACAGTATACACGTCTGTGCAGTGATCATTTCATCAAAGGTAATGTGTTTGAATACAATGGGTGTATGATCATGTAATTAATCGTGTCTTTAAGTTACCCTGTAGTTTCGTGAATCAACAACAGCAGCTGGTTCGGCGAGTCAGCTGTTTGTGTTATTAGTCTAAGCTAGGCTAGCAACTGTCGTCAACAAAAGTTGTGTGATAGGTCGTTTTGAGGTTTGTAATAATATCTACGGTTTTCAATGAGAACCAGAGAAGACCCAACAGTAGAGCTAGATTATTTACGGAGGAATTATTACTGCTCGATTATCTTAAAAAACCTTGTCTGCTTTACACAATTTAGCTACCTGGAGTTAATCCTAGTTCATAGTTATGCAGCTAGCTCGCTAACAGACTGTTCTTGATAGCAAATAGAGGGACCTGGAACTACAGGACTCTACGTTGAAAATACCCCAAACCTTGTGTGGCAATAAAGTTTTTTATCTATTATATTATCTTATTTTATTATTTCAGGTGCCAAATCTGATGACCTGCTGTCCCCTGATTGGGTTCCATCTGTCTTCTCTCACACCCCTGCCACCAAAAAGAGGAAAAGGGAGAAAGACATGGAAAGGTTTGACTTTGAATGTTGTATAATAAGGCTGTGTCTGAAATGTATTGCTGTGACATTTACTTTGCATGCTCATCTAGTGTTTTTTTTCTTCTATTGTGTCACTCTCGTATTGAATTCTTTCTTAACAGTTCTCCCTGCACAGTAAAGTATAACCAAATGTAATTTTAATACATATTTTACAATATTAGTTCTATATATGTGAAAAAAATGTCATTGTGTCCTTGTAAACAAAAGGTATGAGCAGCACAGCAGAATCCAAATCAAGAGGATGGAGGTGGAAAAGAAACAAGATGCTGTGGATGTCCTCTTGGAACTGTCTTGTTTGCCAAGCTGCAAGTGGTTTTATATAGTGTTATTTTATGTCTTCCGACACACGCAACCCTCTGTCCTTTCCAACAACTTCTTTTAACTCTTATGAGGATGAAAATGAACCTGTCCCTTGCTCTACTTAGTGTTCTCTTCCAAATCTCGATAGCGACAGCAAGCAGAACTTTTAGAACTACCCTTGACATGCTACATGCAAAGCTTGTCCCATCATTTTTATTTTGGCCACAGAGAGAAGAGCTTCGGCTGTCAATGCCCATGATATTTAGACAAACTTACCCTAGATGTGTCTGCATAATTGACTGTTTTGAAATTTTTATAGAAAAACCCAAAGACTTAGAAGCAAGAGCACAAACATATTCGACCTATAAACATCATCACACCATGAAATACCTAATAGGCATATCCCCACAAGGAACAGTCATATTCATATCTAAGGGATGGGGAGGCAGAACATCAGACAAACGTGTCACAGAAAATTCTGGGTTTCTGGAATGCATCAGTGCAGGTGATGTAATACTGGCTGATCGAGGGTTTAACGTGGCAGAGTCTATTAGCTTGTGTAATGCTGAGCTGAACATCCCAGCTTTCACTAAAGGAAGGAAACAATTGAGCCCAGTAGAGCTGGAGTCCATACGTGGACTTGCCTCAGTAAGAATCCATGTAGAGAGAGTTATTGGTGAAACAAGAAACCGATACACTATACTACAAAGTACTATTGGTATCCAGATGTGTGAAGCTGAACACCCCAAAGGGTTAACAGTTCTAGACAAAATAGTCCATGTGTGTTGTGCCCTTACAAATGTGGCACCCTCAATTATTCCTTCTGGTTAAACACTACTGAATACAACATTAATGCAATGTAAATATACAATGATTTATTTATATAAACACTCGCACAAACTACACACACTAAGAAACATCTATGTACATAAATGTATTACATTTTCACTTTGAATGTGCATTGTATTTTTTTGTATTAATCTGTTTTATTTATCTATGTATGTGCATTGTATTTATTTACTGATTAAATCTGTATTTGTCTGTCTAACAGTACAATTCAAAATTCAGCACTTTTTATTTGTTTTCTTTGTGCACGTTTGCGTTTTGCCAATTCCTGTTTGCAGACACTGCCCTTCCAATTCAAAACACTAAGATCAGTAGTCTGCAAACAACTTCTGTGCATGTACAGTCTTTTACAGATTTGTGATGTACACTCTATTTTGTCATCAGTATCCAGAACAGGCATACCATAGTAACAGCCTTCAGACGATTTGGTGGCATCATGTGATGTTGCTTGAACAGGTGCTGTAAATTTTTTTGCCAATAGCTCAGGAATGACACATGTTCGGATAAAAGTGTGAACCTTTCCACGCATAGTTTCAAAGAAGACTGTATCCGGCATAATTCTCTCAATGTGCACTTCTCCTTTGCCATCTATCCCTGGTCCCCAAACAACAAAGCTTGCCTCTGCTAAGTGAATTTGTGTCTGCACTTGGTAAAAGTACTGGTGGTCCTTCTTTAGTGAAACTTTACCCTCTACCTCGTGGAGACTAAATGTGCCATCCTGTTTCATTTTGTCAACTAAACTGCTGTTCTCAAGACTACTTGGTGCCTTCACTTCTAACACACCCATCCCATGGCAGTCACACATTAACATGCCATCTGGGGATGCCCCTAACCATGGGTATTTAGGACTAATGACCAGCCCTGCCCTCCTGACATTGAGGTTGGTGTGATGTTCCTTCATGATCTTGGAGTACTCCTCCACGGCCCTTCCCTCATGTTCTATGCCCCATCTGAAACAAACAATATTTAAGTATCAAAAATGATAGATTATGATAACCTCCATAATGTGCATATCATTAAGGTAAAGAAAATGGAAAGCCCTCAACTATTTGTTGTGGAAGTTATTTGATTGTTAATTGAAGGCATTGTGTAGTACCTGAGAGAATGTGGTGTGTATCAGGCTTTGTAGGCCACGGGGTAGCAAAGCTTTTTCAGCAGGGACACAGCTGGTTTTTCTGAGTTAGTGTGGCAGGCTGCTCGGATGTTAGATGCAGTGACCCTTCCTGCTTTCTGGTCGTACCACATAGTGGATTTGGATTGAAGTCTTGTCTCACTTTCTATTGCACAGCACTAAAATGTAAAAAGCTGTGTGAAATTCTTGTAGCAAATCA